GAATTAGAATTGCCTCACCATCTCTTCATGAGTTGACCCTCTTCCTTCCTCAAAAGGCCCCTCCTTATCTTTAGGATGCTGCTGCTTTGAGATCCTTCCTTGAGTCCTGGATGTCAGACTATGCAGCTGCTGCTTTGCTTTGCTTCTCTGTGTTTCTGGTTCAGGAGGAAGAAGCTGTAAGCAAATGGGACCAGAATGCTCAAAGTTTTAGTGGCGTTGGCATGATGAGAGATAAAGACTAAAGGGTAACAAGGAAGCAGCAACATCAACCATTGGGCAGGCGGAGCCCCAGGAAGAACCCCGGACTGGGCTCTGGAGGACCTTTTGTGCTGGGCAGGTTCTTACCAGGCTCCAGACTAGAGCCCAGTTAGGCCTGCATGTGACTCAGGTAGAGGGGTAAGCAAAAATCACCAAAAGCTCTCTCCCCTGCCAGCACCTCCTTTCCTCAAGATAAGACCATAAGCTGGGCACTGGAGGGTATGGATAGATTTGAGGGTGTGTGAAGGAAATGTGTTTAATTACCTTATTTTACTCTAAAACTGTTGACTGTTTACTACACTGGTTTTAATGCAGTTAGATTTTGCCACTGTATATTTTAAGAAGAAACTCAACAAACTCAGTTTTATGAACTTTCTGTAGCAGTGACCTGATTTGGAGATTCAAGGATGACCAGTGCATTTCAGAAAACACCCGAGACAGCATGTCTATGCCAGAACACACTCTTAACCAGAATATCAGAATTACAAGTGAAGAGTGTTATTTTTACAGAACATGGCAGCAGTCTTAGGAATCCGAGTATATGTCGGCATGTCTTTGCTAGAATTGTGTTTATAAGGATAGCATTTTGGATATCTAATGGCCTATACCATTCTGAAGATGAAAGAGGCCATTTTGTTAGGGCCTCTCACTTCCACTTGCACATGAAGGACCCTAACACACAAATGCAGATGCATGCTTTCTCTGTGGTTTCTGCTGTGCTCTGCCCTGGTTCCATATTCTCTACTGAGCTGACTGCCAGTGGAGAAGAGAGTTCTCCTTAAGGAGGAGACACCAGGGCTCTGGTAGAGCTCAGTGAAGAGCATGTACTTAGCATGCATGAGTCCCCCCAAAAGGAGTGACTCCTCATAAAATAAATAGGTGGAATAAATACAGTAGAATATTGGTTCTTAAGCAAGCAAGAGGCAGTCTGAAGCAACACCCTTGCTAAGAAATCAGTCCAAAAAAAAAAGAAAAAAAATTTGGGTGAAACAAACAAAAGTCAGTGTAATTAGAGATAACTAGGATTTAGATTGTTTTAAATACTGTTGATTTAGTGTTGGGTTAGAGACACCACAGCAAGTAAACATGTTTAAGACTGGGAACTTCTAGTTACTATTTTAGGCAATGGGGTATTAATTTAGAAGTGAATATTTTTCTTGGTGATCAATGCAGTTCTCTCTAGCTACACTGATATTTTGTTGCTGGTCTGTTTGGTAGTGAACAGTTGTTCCTCAACACACTTTAATTGCCTCCCTCACTGTATAATGTAGTAGGTGGCCATGTTTTCTCAGGAAAAACAACAACATGCATTTGCAACACACTATCACATCAAAATGAAAGTATGTTATATTTATTGCTTTAATACGCAGTATGAAGAAGTTATGGATATATGCATAATTCTTAAGGTTTGTGTTGCATCATAGATATTTACCATGTGCCTGTGTGTGAGTTGCCAGCACCCTGGCTGTGAGGGTCTGTGAAGAAGGTGTTCTAGTTTGCTTTGTTTTACCAAAACAAAACATCTTGGGGAGGAAAGGGTTTAGTTGGCTTACAGCTCACAGTCTATCATTCAGGGAAGCTAAGGTGGGAACTCAAGGCTGGAACCTGGAGGCAGGAGCTGAAGCACAGACCTTGAGGAATGCTGCTTACTTGTTTGCTCCCCTGGCCTATGCTCAGCCTGCTTTCTTATACAATCCAGGATTGCCTGCCTAGGGGTAGCATCACCCACAGTGGGCTGTGCCCTCCCACCTCACTCAACAATCAATAAAATGCCTCACAGACATGGCCACAGGCCAATCTGATAGAGAAAATTCTCCAGTTGAGGTTGGCTCTTCCCAGGTGTGTCAGATTGACCTCTGACACTATCTGGCACAGAAAGTATGCTGATAAATACTGATAAGTGGGCATTTGTTCATTTATTTTGCTTCATGGATTTTTAGTAGTCCTTTTAAAAAATGATTCCATGGCAGGATGCTTTTATAGCTTGCTTAGGAGTGGGTTCCTGTCCTCAGTTCTGAATGGACTCTGTGCAGAGTTAAAGACAGTTTTCAAAGCCCACTCTTTTTGACAATCCTGACATTGTTCCATCTTCCTATTCTCAGATCCTTGATTCTGTGACAGTCAGCGTGCCTGGCATATGGTGTTGCAGGGACGGAAGGGCTGTGTCCTCCCTGCTTGTGCTCAGAGCTGAGGTGGCGTACATCCTCTGGGTTACTTGTCTTGCTGCACACAGACAGATCCATGGTTCACAAGTGTTTTTAAGGTTTTGCCGCTGCCCTGTCCTTCTCTGAAACCCTGTGTTCTTTCCACTTTGTCCTTTAACTGTTCTTATTTCTACGATGCCTAGTCAGTTTGTGCTTTGCTTTGGTAACAGGGTACACTATTCTGAACTCCATTAGTTTCTCTGGTGTTGGAACAATTGGGCCAGAGCTAGGTGTGAACCAAGCTATCCTGTGTAGGCTCTCAATGGCATCTGAGGTGCTAAAGACAAATGGGGGTGGTTGGGGTGGGGAGAGCATGTCCCCATGTGGCCAGCCTAGACCTGAAGGAGAGAAGGTGAGTACTGTCGAGCAGATAACCTAACCTTTCTCCTTCAGATTTTTTTTTTTTTTTTTGTTTTCTTTGGAGGCAGGGATTCTTGGAATTGAGG